AACTTTATTAAGTAAACTTGTTTTTTATATTCTTAAATATATTAATATAGATTTTTATCTTATTTTATTAATTAGTTATTAAAATATTGCAATAATAAAATTAATATAAAGTATATATTTTTTTGTTATAGACTATATATTAAATTTATTATAAGTTAATATTAGGTTGATACCAATTAGATACTTAATTTAGAATCTTATATGGATCTATATATCAGATAAGATTATTCAAGAATAGAAATTATACTATCAATTTAAATTATCTAATTTGCTAATTTAATTTTATTAAAAGATATTTATTTTATAAAGATTATTTATAAAATAATTCAATATCTCTAATATTTATTACTCTAAATAATTAAAAAAATAGTGTATTTGATTGGTTCAAAATTAAAATATCTTTTATATACGTACATATTAGACTTTAACAAATTTGCTTATTACATTTTGATTTCAGTTTATACAATTATTAAACAGATAAGAATTATAATAGGAATATATATTTTTTAATAAATATTATTAAAATTTAATATAAATTAATTAATTATTTTTTTTAAAAAGGTTTTTTCAATAGATAAATATTATTTTTTTATTTAATATTGTATATAACAAGGTATATATTATAAAAAAAATAATATTTTTTAGATACAAGATATATAACAAGTTAAATATTAGCTTGCTTATTTAATAATATCTAATTAATATTGAAAAAAAAATTTAAAAGTAATAATAACTTATTAAATAAAGCTGAGTAGCAGGTATGTCTATTAACTTAGAAAATTTTATATGATTTTTTGATTTTTTGAATATAAAATAATTAAAAAGAAAAAAATAAACATAATTAAAACTAAATTAAATAAACTATAAAATTTATAAATAGAAAACTAATTATTTTTTTAAAAAGTCTTTAAACAAGTTAATTGTTTTATTTCTTTAGCTTTTTAATTATTATAAATAATAGAATATATATGATATTACTTGTTGTTATAATATATGTTATTATAATTATTATTATAATTGTTATTGTAATATAAAATTGATTTAAATAAAATTTAATAAAATAATTGAAAAATATTAATTATTCAAAGAAATAAATTAATTTTAATCTTTTGGTTAAATAAAAATATTGAAAAATTTGAAAAAATATAGAAAGTATTACTATGGTATAATTGAATTTTAAGAATTGACTTGAAATAAACAATAGATGTATTAACTTTATTTATATATATATTTTGAAAAGTATTTAATTTATTAAATATAATAATAATAATATAAATAATTTTTATAATAAAATAAAGATAAAAAGAAATACAAGAAAATAAAAAAACAATGAATTGTTACTGGCTTTTTTTTATATAATTAAAGAATAAGCAAGACTTTTTTAAACTTGAGTAAATTTTAATTAAAGATTTTATTTTACTATATTAGTTGTCTTAAAGATCCTTAAGTTTTTAAATTAAAATTTACTTGTAATAAAAGATGTAAACTATTTTTTTTACTTAAAATTATTATAAAAAAATTTTTTTAACAAATTAAATGTAATCAAAAGAGTTATTTTTTTTTTAATATAAATTATTTAATAAATAAAACTTATATTTATTTTATTATTAAAAAAATTAAAATAATAATTATATTATATTATTATTATTATTATTTTAAATATCAATTAATATATTTAAACAATAATTAAAAAATATATCATTATTATTTTAAACAATAAATTAATTATTTTTAAAAATATAATTATTAAAATAATATCTTATATATATATTTTATTGCTATTATTACTATTATTAATTAAATAATTATTATATTTAATTAGTTATAATATTTTATATTTTGAACAATATAATCTGATTATTTTGAAAAGTATTATTATCAAAATAATATATGTTAGTACTTTTATATCTTAAATATTTTTTATATAAAAATTTATCTTTTTTTTTATTAAATATTAAATATTATTATTTTTTTATTTTAAGTTTTATTATATATAAATTTAAATAATTGTTTAATATTAAATTTGATTTATATTGATTTTAATATTGATTTTTTTTTTATTGCTTAAATAGTGTATTATAAATAAATTAATATTAAACTTATTGGTTAATTAATTATTTATACAATCAATTTATATATTATTAATTTTTTTTTCAATTAAAATTAAAACATAAAAAAAATATAGAAATTTTGAATTTTTTATTTTTAAAAAAAATTTTAACTTGTATTTAAATTAAAATTGTTTTGAGAAATATAAATTTTTATTTCAAAACTTTTTTTATTATATTGATTCTGTTGTTATCAAAAAGTTGAAAATATATTAAAAATTAAAAAGAAATTTTAAATTATTTAAATATATTAAATTAGGCAAGATTGTTTTAATATTGTTAAGGAAATTAACAATAATATTCAAAAGATATAATAAAAACTTAAAGATTCTTAAGTTTTGAAAAGTAAGGAAAGATTTTGTATTACTAATAGTTTTTATCAGATATAATTTATAATTTACCTTATCTAATCGAAAATTTGATTGTGTCATTGTATCAATTCGTGACTGATGATTACGTATAAAAAATGTACCCGCAGTTAAAGATGTAATACATCTAACACAAGTTTTCGTTAAAATATTCATTAAACATCTATCTCATCAATGTCTGCAGACGCTTCAAACCAACCTTCTACCCAAGGGCAAACTCGTAGAGAACCGCATAGCAACTTCCGTGGTAGACGTCATTATAGAACAAGTTACAGAGATCAAAATAACAACACCGTCTCAACTCGAAAAGTCAAAGATGCTGTGACCACCACTGAAAGTGACGAAGATCCCTCCTTTAAAGAAAATCGTGAAACTTGTTTTATTTGCGCTGAACCGATTACCGTCTACGCTGTTTCTTGTTGTAACCATCGAACTTGTCATCTATGTTCCTTGAGACTAAGGGCCTTGTACAAGACTAGAAATTGTACATACTGCAAGGTATTATTACAATTTCAGTTTTCTAATTTAAAATATTCATGTCTCAATTTTTCTATTCGTCTTTACGCCTAAAGACCGAACAAGATAAGGTCATTTTCACTCGCGATCCCGATAAGCCTTTTGAAGACTTTGAGGATAGAAATGTCCCTTATCATGACAAAAAATTGAACGTGTTTTGCGAGGATCCTCAAATATTTGAAGATGTCAATACTTTGATGTCTTATAATTGTCCTCACGAGAAGTGTACAACACTCTACAATGGTTGGCATGATTTGAAACGACATGTGCGAAGAGATCATAACATGTGGCTCTGGTAAGTTTCTTTTTTTTCACAATAATGCATAAAAAGAAGAGCTTATAATTTTTTTCTTCTTCTTGAAATTTATAGTGATATCTGTATTAAAGAAAAAAAAGTTTTTGTATATGAACATACTCTCTTTACTAAACGTGCACTTGAGGAACACATCGAAAGAGGAGATGAATCCGGATTTAAAGGGCATCCATACTGCAAATTTTGTAACAGGAACTTTTATGGGGAAGATGAACTTTACAACCATTGTCGCTATTCTCACGAACAATGCCCTATTTGTGAAAGGTCTGGAATAAGGCACCAATACTATATTGATTATGTTGAATTGGTAAAGATTTTTAATTACGAATATCAATATTTGCAAGTCACATTACGAGTAATATATATACATTGTCTGCACAGTTACAACATTTTAAAGACGAACATTACTTATGTAAACATAAAGAATGCTTAGAGAAGAAATTTATCGTTTTTAAAACAGACATTGATTTAAAGGCACATGAAGTAAGTTACAAGTCAGGACAAAAATAATTGCGAGATTGGAATTCTAAGTGCACGCCATTTATTTAGGTAGAGGTTCACGGGTCGAATTCGAGACGAATTGAAATCAATTTTTCATATGAGGGTTCTCATCTAAGGTCTAGAGGTCGTCGGAGAAGCCCAGAAAGACAGGCATGAATAATTATAACGTTGACCATATTGAATTACCATTATTATACTTATAAATTACAAACCTAGTCTATATATATTCTGCTTCAAATTTGAATAGGACGGTGGTGGAGGTGGTAATATAAATAATTCAACTGAAGAAAATAGAAGGCAAGCTCAAAACATTATTGTGGGTGAATCATCCACCATTGACAATAGCGGGGATCGTGTTACCGCAAGGATAAGACCTCCTCCTGGATTTGGTGTTTTAACGCCCGATGAACCCGCTGGTTCCCCTGATGATTCACCACCATTAACTGTTATTCATCCTCCCATACGAGAGCAAAGTTCTCGGGCAGAAGATTTTCCAACCTTGAAAGCTTCGATGAAGGTGGGAAATAACAGCGAAAGACCAAGACCTGACCGTTTGTCGACACCCGTCAGGCCTAGCACGTCGCAACAACCGCAGCCTGGGAATGCAAACAGAGGAAAAATTACTGTGCATCGATCAGAAGCTAGTGGCAGTAGTAGTATTTTCAAAGAGAGATCCCCTTCTCGGGATGATGCATTTCCCGCTTTACCTGCCCCCGGTAATGCTATAAATTATAGCCAAAAGATAAAGGCAAATACAGTTGATTTCAATAACAAAAGGTATGTTTATTGGGTCCAAATATTTTATTAATTGCGTGATAAAATAATAAGAATTACATTTAAATATTTGGATTACAGTCGACAGGTCGATCGAATTAGTTCGTATTTATCTAATGATAAATCAAAAATCGACGAGTATAATTCGTTACTTGCTTCATATAAGGCAGGAAATATTGATGCAACTAAATATATTGGATCATTGTCTTTATTATTCAACGAAAATCTGGGGAAGGCAATTCCAGTGTTGGTCGATCTATTTGATGAAAATGTGAAAAAAGAACTATTAGGAGCTTGGCAAGATCATAAAGTTATGGTTGGTATATTCTATTACATATCGAATCGCTTTCTGTTAAAGCTCAAATATTTTTTCGATTATTCTTAATAGAAAGCTTTTCCTGCTTTGGAGCCTTCAGAAAACGTCATAAAGGCGAACAATTCTCCCGTTCAGAACAAAACATCTCCACGTGTTCTTGTAATTAAGTCGTCAAATACGCGGTCTGGTGGAGCTCGGCCAAGTAGCTCTCAAGTGTGGGATAGAGTTGCCGCTGCCGCCCTTAAATCTTCGACTAAAACCAACTCCGCTTCTGCCTCTTATACCAATAGTGCATGGAAGGATTTTCCACAACTTACTAAATCTACACCTCAAGCCTCATCGAGTTCAACTGGTGATTCGTCATCGTCTCCGATATCTACGACGATCACTGGCTTTATTAAAGGCAGACCAACAAAATTCGAAAATAATGATGATTTTCCAGGTCTTCCAATTGCATCATCATCAACACATGTGGTTAATAATAATAAGTCGGAAAAAAGTGCATGGGGTCATGGTGGCGCGTTTTCTTCTTTGACATCTGGTCAAGATAAAGAGTCAGAAGTTGATAGTGATGATGATTTATATGTCAGCAATGATGGGAAGAAAAAGAAACAACAAAAGAAAAAACAAAAACAAGTTTTGTTTCATATTGGTTAAACTCAATTAGTTCAGTAAAAGAATCACTAAATTGAATAAATAGAAAAAATACAAATTTGTAATTTTAATACATTTTCATGTTATTATCAATTATTTACTGTGTGGATAAATAATTAACAAAATAAATTAATGCTAGGAAACAGGGACCGTTGTTTTCTTCTACCGTATACCAAGATAATGTAAAGAATACTGGTGTGGATTAACTGATGGTTTGAATAATTTATTACAGACTATTAGATATTACATTTTTTTTTTGTTAAAATTTTGACACTTTATTTTATAACTATTGTTTTAATAAGTAATTTATTATTAATAAATTATGTTCGAAGCATTATTTTAAATTTTTTGTTTTAATTATCAAATATTAATGTCAAGATTAGGACGAACTCAATTTCTTCTTTATACTTCCGGATCTCATTTTTATGCGTAAATATACCTTCTGGTTCGAACTTTGAATTGTTTAGGACATCCACATCGATTTACAGTATACAGGGTATTAGTAACTATGTGGCGCAGGTGCGCAACGCGGTACGTCATGTTTTAAATTTTGGGTGGGAAATCTCTAAAATACTGTAGAAAGAGAATGTATAAATTTGTGCACAATTCGATAGCATATACTGTAGCACTCGCGTTCTAATAATAAATAAGCCCTAAGTTAAAATAAACTCTTAACTTGTTTTTGCGTATGCGTCAAATATTTGTAACTTGTACTACTCGATTGGGCGAAAGGACCGAAATTGCCTAAGGGAATAAAAACCGGTCATATCAGGAACGTCTTAAGAATAAAAAAGCTTTAGATTATTTACCTTTGATCGTATGCAACGCAAAGGAATGCCCGAATTTGCCAGATTCGTTGATTACGTTTACAATGTTATAAAAAAAGAAAAACTATACACTAAAGCCCGTCACTGTGAATAGTTTAATCGACGCTAGATCAACGAACGCTGGGAAACAGGCTTCACCACTTGCTCATGTTGCAGTTGCGCAAGGAAGGATAATAACCGATCCCTCATTCGGAATCAGTAGACCTTGCTACCTACATTACAGACTCGATCAGAACACAACGTGATAAGAAAACACTTAGCTGTTTTGGCAAGGTTTTTTCATGGCTAGATATTTCGGTTCGGTAGAATATTAGGAAAGAAAACTTTTCTCGCGACAGGAAAGATCTTGGTTTGACAAAAGGTTACTTTCTTGTGATAAGGAATGGAGTAGTAAGAAAAATAAAATAGAGAATTGAATTTTTTTATAAAACTATTTATTTAATAAAAATACAGAAATAACCACTTTTCTGCTTGTTATCTTCTTTTAAGTCCTTTGGACAATTATAGTATTTAAATTTTTTTATAAAATATTAAAAAAAATTATTTTAACAAAAATAATTATATTTATTATCAAATATTTAGTTTACAAAGATAATAATTAAATTTAAATTTAAAACTTTTCATGTGGTTAAATATTCAATTATCTTTAGATATTCAAGGTTTTAATATAGATTTTGAAATTTGCTTTACTATATTTCTTGAATAGTATTAAAAACATAAATGGATAGATTGATTTATTAAGTCTTGTGTTAAACTTTCCTGGCAAAAAGAGATAGATGCTATTCTAATAAAATTATAATCTTGTTTTATTAAGTCCAAATTTATAATAAAATTTAAAAAATATAATAATTATCTTGTTCTTTCAAAAAAAAAAATTATCAACCAAAATTATTTTTTAAATTAAAATTTACAATATAATATCAAAAAACAAGAATTTTTAAATATGCAAAATTTAAGGTATATATTCATCACTCTAAAATTTAATTCTAATTTCAAATCATGTAATATTGATAGTCGTGTAATTAATTTTATTCTGAGTTTTAATTTTTGTCATTAATTTTTGAAGATTTAATTTTTTAAAAATAAATTAAAATGCTAATATTTATTATTATATAATTATGTATGTTCAATAAATAAGTATTTATTTAAAAGCTTATTTTTTGAATATTCATATTAAAAAATATTATTTAAAATCAAATCATTGGTTATTAAGAAAACTATATAATAAAATTCTTACTAATTTTTAGATTTAAGTTTTTTGAGTTTTAATTTTAATATTAATTTTTTAAAAAAAAAAAAAATAAATTTTATTACTTTATTAATCATATAATTGTTTAAAATTTATATATAAAGAAAGTGACAACATTTCTTATATAACTTGTTAAGCTAATAAGTCTAACGCTAGCTTGCCTATATAAATTATCTAAGTGATAAGAAAAATAAATATTAAAATATTATACATTTAAGATGGTGCTGAGCAGCTATAAATATCTATTTAAGTTTATATACTGTATAAAAAGATTATAAGAAATGAAAAATTGAAAAAAAAAGAAAATACTAAACAAAAAAATAAATACAAAAAAACTAATTGTAAAGCTATAAATGCTTCAGATAAAATCACTAGAAATGTTATACTGATAGTTCTATTTAACTGAAGTATAATAGTTGTACTTCCAGAAATGACCAGACTATTGTTCAAAATATACAATGATATTGATAATATTTTTTTTTATAGATGATTGTGGTAGTAGTGTTGTTGTAATGACATAATTAGTAATTATTTTGTTTATTAATAATCAATGTTGGCAAAATTATGCTTCATTAGTAATTGTTACATTCTTTTTATTATATTATTTACTATGGGTAGAATTTATAATATAATAAAAAGAATGTGATAATTATTAATGGAGCACAATTTTGCTAATACTGTTAATAATATAATTTTATTTTGATTATTATCATTAAAACAAAAAAATAAATACAAAAAAACTAAATGTAAAGTTATGAATACTTCAAATAAAATTACTAAGTATATCATGCTGATGGTTTTATTTAACTGAAATATGATAATTGTACTTATAGAAATAGTCAAGTTACTGTCAAAAGTATACAATAGTATTATTAATATATTTTTTAATGGGTGATTAGTTATAGTAGTAATATTATTATTATGGTATAATTAATTTGTTTATTAATAATGTGATTTTATTTTGATTATCAAAAAAGGTTTTATTTATATTGATCAGTATGTGATGTTTTGATTGTACAAATTTGTTTGAAAAATTAATAGTTTTTGATTGGTTAAGTTTGAAATATTGATCAGTTAACAGAAGTAAACTGATTACAGTTTTTTGATAAGAAATTTTTTATATGATATTTTTGAGTTTTTATAATATAGCATTATATACTGAATGATATTGAGAAATAGGTATTGGATATATTGCTAGTATTTCAAATCAATAATATAAGTAATATTAATATAAAGTTTGATTTTTGAAATAAAGAAACACCCTACCAAGAAGAAAATTTGTTTATTTAATAAAAAACATATATTAATAAAAAGTAAAATAAGAATCCAAGAAAAATTTATAAATAATAGGGTTCTGATTGATACCATTTGGTATGATATTCCATAAAACCAATACTGAAAATATTTTTTGATATTGGTACTGGTAATTACCAAAAATAAGTTTATATTTTTAATATAATATATATTTATTATGTACAAAAATAATATAACTCAAACATGTATATAAAGTTTTCAGTTTCATCTAGAAATTAATAGGTTTGAACTTTTATTTTATTAAATAAATAAATTAGTCTTTACAAAAACAAATCACCATTGTTTCTTTTATTTGATCTCATACACCTCAGAATTGTACTAATTTGTATGCCTCTAGAAACTTTAGTTTACCATATTGATTTTTTCTATCTAAAGTATCTCTCTGTTATTAGTTCACTATTTTTATTTTCTCCTGAATAGTAATCATAGCAGTTCAAATCAAATCAGATTTTAACTAAATTTGATTTAATTCGTTTTTAGATATACAATTCAAATTTGTATTGAATATTATTAGAAAATTTTTTAAAGAGTTAATTATTAATAGTCAATCAATAATTGCTAATAATCGATTATAATTAATCAATATATATTGATAGTAATACAATATATTGATTAATATCAAAAAAAATTTTTTTGTTTAAAATTGATTTATATCAAAATTGATATATAAATCATATTTTATTTAATAAATAAGTTACAATTTTTAACAATTAATATTATGCATCATTATAAATCATTATAATTTAGCAGATATTATGTGACTTTGGATATGTGTTTTAGTCTAATTATTAGTGTTCTTTGGCCAGAAGTCTAAATCCTTGATTATTAAGAAATCAGCATTGACAATATTTTTTTAGCCATTAATAAAAGATATTTCTCTCATCAAAATACCCATGGTCTCTTAAGATCGTTTGAGAGATTTTCATATGACATTTCAAAGAAAATTGGGATTTTTGCCAGATGTCTATAGATTTATTATAGATTTAGTAAAAAGTATTACAAGTGTACAAAATACCTTTTCAAAAATAAGCAATAGAAATCAATGTTTCCTTAAAAGTCAATAGCAATTCTTTTTCAGCTAATGTCCAAATGAATAAGTGCAATTCTAACATCACTCAGAAAACAGTCATAGTACAGGCCTGATAAAAATCAGCTTTAATTGAGGTAACAATTTAAAGATCAGCAAGAATCAAGATATTCTTTACAAAAATAATCTTAATCAAGACAACCTTCTAGAAAACAAAGTCAGTCAAGGCAGTCTTCAAGAGAATGAAGTCAATCAAGGTAACCTTCAAGAGAACATTCTGAATCTTGACAGCTCAGACATTTTTCAAGATAACAAACTCTAGCCCTCTTGCCCTTAAAATATTAAACTCTTATATATCAATCCTTAAGGCAACAAACTCCATATCAAACAGCTCAAATTACATCTCATCAACATGATAGAAATTGTAAGACTTTACTTTTACTTAAAAATTGAGAAAGATCACAGAAAAGATGATCAACAGATAGTGTAATAAATTTATAATTTTTTTTTTTTTTTAATTACACTTTAATATATACAGTATATATATTTTTTAAAGAATGGCAGCAAGTTGATAAATGATTTTTTTTGCAACAACAACTTTATCTTTTGATAAGAAGACTTAATGATGA